CATTGGCAACCCTGCTGGTATTTGAAATACTGGTAGCATAGCTTTCAGAATCACAGCGCCATGCTAGCCACCATAGTATGAGCAAGTGACAGACAAGTGGTGTTCTACTACCATATGCTTTCCTGGTTTTTGTGTGTCTAATTAGAAAAAATATAGTATTTTTTCTGTGTCAAAACACACATTTTTTAGAACTTTAAAAATATGTTTTGTAAGTAATAAAAACTAGATGATATTCAACTTCTGTTAGAAGTTGGATTTGTGTTTTAGTTGTTTCATTTGGAAATTTCTAAGCATGATGCTATGATTTTTACCATTAAAGTTACCTGAGTTCCAACTCTGAGTGCAATTTGTCCTGGCTGTGTAGCAATAAAAATTTAGTTAAGTTTTTAGAATTTCAGTTTAATTTCTAAAAAGAAAAGAACAGATTAAACTTGCTTAATAGTGACATGCCAAGGATTTCATGAATAATAGCCACAGCTGTACAGGGTTTCATAGCACCCTATAAAGGGTTCCCGATGCTGTAAATCTTTTGGGAGCAGAAAGCCTCACCTTTCTCCTGCAAAGCAGCTGGTGGGCTCTAACCACCGACCTTGTAGTAGCTGCCTAGTGGTTTATCCTACAGACCCCCAACACTCCCAGAACATATGTCATTAAGTGCTGTCGAGTTGGATCTGACTCATGGGGACCCTGTATAGGTAATATAGAAATTATTTAATGAATAAATCCAAGCAAAACCAATGTTATCTTGTTAATTCCAAATCATACCAAGGCCAAGTCTTTACCAGATCAGACAGACTCATTTTTCTCCTGTGGAACAGCTAGTGGTTTTGAACCAATGACTTTGCAGTTAGCAACCCTGTGTCCAACCATGGTGACACCAGAGTTCTTATTCAACATTAAAAATAGAACAAAACAAAACAAAAACACTGTTATTAACTCAATTGCAACTTACAACGACCTTGTCTAGGGTTTCTAAGGCTGTAAATCTTTCTCCCATTGATCAGCTGGTGTGGTTGAAAGACTCAGATCTTTCAGTGAGAAGTCCAGTGCTTATCTTACAGCACCAGCTGAGCTCTTTATTCAATATGTGTTGTTGTTGTTGCCACTGGTTTTGACTCATAGTGATGCTATATAAGGGTTCTTAAAGTAGCTGGTGAATTTGAACTGCTGATGGGAGCAAGCAGTTTGCTCTAGACTGCTACAAGTAGTCCAATCCACCCAGCAGCACCTTGGAAGAAAGGGCAAGGTGTCTGTAGAGGTTGTTGTTCTTAGGTTCTAATGAGTGAGTTCAATCTCATAGCATCCCAAAATGTTATCTTGTCCTGTGCCATCTTCCCAATCTTTCCTACATTTGAGCCTGTTGCAACCACGGGTTCAATCCATCTCACTAAAGGTTGCCATCTATGTTGCTGATCACCTATCAAGCATAATGTCTTTCTGCAGAGGTTGGACTCCTTTTCTCCACCCTATCTCTCCATCCCTCACCCCACCCCACCCACGATAGGCCCAAAGTAAGCAAAACAAAGTCACATCATTCTTGCTTCTAAGGAATATTCTGGCTGTACTCCCTCTAACACAGAGTTGTCTGTTCTCCTGGATGTTGTTGTTGTTGTTAGGAGTCGTGCAGTCAGTTCAGACTCTTACAGACCCTATATTCAATAGAATGAATTCTGCCCAGTCCTGTGCCATTCTCATAATCATTCCTAAGTTGAAGCTCACTCTTACAGGCACAGGGTCAGTCCATCTCATTGATAACCTTACTCCTTTTTGCTGACCCTCGATTTTTGTCAGCATGATAGTCCTTCTCTAGTGACTGATCCCTCCTTATAACATGTGAGAAGACATCTAGCCACCGTCACTTCTAAGGAACATTCAAGCGACACTTCATCCAAGACAGCTTTGTTCTTTCCTATGGCAGTTTATGGCATATTTAGTATTCTTTGCCACCACTGTAAAGATTACAGCCAAGAAAATCCTATGGAGCAGTTCTCCTCTGTAACATCACTATTTGATGACAATCTATTTTTTATTATAATTACAGTACTCTCTTCTTCACGCACACACCCATAACATAGTCCTATTATACTTTGTTCCACTTGTGTGTGCTTCCACATAAAAGTGATTTTTGGTAAAACATAGGTTACAAAAACAATAATGAAGAGTCACTAACATATTCTATGCCTCTCCTGGTATGGCACCTAAGGTTCAGCACTGGACCACAAGGTCGGCAGCTGAAACCAACCAGTCAGTCCTCAGAAACCCTATGAGTCACTATGAGTTGAAATCAACTTGATGGCACTTAACAACAACTACAACAACCACAGAAAATAGTTAAAATGAAAAACTGTGGATTCTCTGAACAGAAAAAATGTTTTTTTTTTATTTTAAATGTCTCAATGAGATCTTATGCCTGCTAAGATTTCCAGGTGGGGATTATGTAATTAGACACAAAATTAACATAATGTGTTTTTCTTCTAGTTGGTGAGAATAATTACTGTACATTTAGACTATGTACTGGGCTTCTATTGGTTGGAACTACCAGCAACTCTGTGAGGGAGAAGTCCATAAAGATTTACAGCTTTGGAAACCCTGTGGAACAGATTTACTCTGCCTATAGGAGTCCTGGTGTGGTGCTGTAGAGTAAGCAGTGGACTGCTAACCAGAAGGTCAGCGGTTCAAACCCACCAGGCACTCCTCAGAAACCCTGTACAGGGTAGCTATGAGTTGGAACCAACTCAACTGCATGTAACAACCATGTATTGGGTTGCTAAGAGTAGGAATTGTGTGGCTGGCAGTGGGTTCGGTGGTTTTACATAAATTAAGATCCTCAGAATGGGATTTACGCCAATGTGAGAGCATAATGCTTTGATGATATCACCATGCAAACCTAGAATCGTGATGTTCAGGAGGTAGTCATTCCCAAGTATTGGATTAAAGACAAGGCAGGATCCTCTGAGGAGAAATTAGCAGTTTTATTCCCTGTTTATGCTATTTATGCTAGAGGTGCTTCCGTTTTGATTTTAGAAGCTTCTCTTCTCCTGGCACATGGTAATGATAGCCTATGATCTGATCATCAGTTTCTGCCTCAGCAGCAGCAAAAGTCACCCTTCCTCTTTGGTGTTCAATGACGGGGATTGTTTGTCTTCAGTTCTCACCCTCCACCAGCTGAGGGAGCAAGAGACCTCCTCAGCACCAGAAGCAGGGCAGCCAGCCTCCTGAGGCTTTCTACCTTGTGTAGCTTCAAGGATCTGTCCTACTTAGGTGGATATAATAAGTAGTGGTGTGGCAGTAAGGGTTAATGTGCTAGACTGCAAGGTTGGTTTGAACCACAAGGTCTGCAGTTCAAGCTTACTAGCTGCTCCTTGGGACCCTATACAGAGTTGCTTGAGTTGGAACAGACTGGACCTCACTTTAACAATAGCAAGTGACCCTGGAGTTTAACTGCATTCAAGAAGTTCCATCAGAAAGCTTCTCTTTTAATGAGCTAGGTTTTATGAAATGCTTTGGGGGGTATATAAGGCAAGCACAGTCTCTATTTTACATAGAGAATTTTTTTGTGCATTCCTTTACAGAAAGTTAAGTTTTAAAAGATATATATGAAGAAGATATCAGTGCCACTATAGTCTCGATCTCTCTCACATACACAAACACACATGTGTATATTTTTGTGCATTCCTCTAATTTAAATTTGAGTTTCTAAAGATGTATGTTAAAATGCCAGTATAAATATAGCTTCTCTTCTCTGTCTCTGTCTCTCTCTCACACACATACAAGCACCTACAAATGCACATGCAAGCCCGCACGTGCACATATTGAAGGGGTGCCATATGTCCCAAGTGAAACCGACTTGAAAAAATAGAAGTGCTGAACACATCACAGTATCATTGCGTGAGGACATTCATCAGTTTTCTCTCTGGCAATGAGATTTTTCTCACCCTCAAGACATGCAAATGACTTATTCATCTGTTCTTTTTATGTTATTTGCATAATTTTATCCTATAAAAGTGAGAGCTGTCAAAAATTAACCATTTGGGACTTCTCCATTTAGTAATGTGACCTTTTGGAGAGAATTAGATCTCTTCAGGGAACGAGTAACTTTTGATGGTGAGGCTGGGAAAGAGCTTCTCAGGTGGTCAATGGCAGAAACAGCAGATGAGAAATAGGTAGCTAAGGCACATCGTTCTATTTTAAAAGTTATTTGACATTTTGGTTCCTTCCATACTATACCCTTTGTTTATTTTTGCTTTCATAAATCAGTATTTCCACAGAGAATACAAAGATGTTTTCAGTTCGCTGTGTTGTTGTATATTATTTTATAGATCTCAGGTTAATAATATAGCACAAATTATTTCACAAAGGTGGTGCGAGTTTTAAATGATATTTGAAAAATCTATACAGAAACGCTCAGTTCTCTATGCTTTGTTTGGATGCTTGTCTTTGCGGGAAAAACAAAACAAAAACACACAAAACAAAACCTGACACATCTGAATACTTCCTTTTTATAAATCCTAGAGTTGCCCTCTGGAGGCTGTGATATACCTTTCAATTCATTTTACTCAGGAAAAAAAAAAAAAAAAAAAGGTTGACGTATGTACCAGGCTAGGGTCAAAGACAAGTACATTTATCCCTTTTGTCACCTTGCTTTAAACATGTTTCAGGCTTGTCTTAGAATCAGTTCTCTCAGTCGATTACTTACTTCACCTTACCTGATAGCTAACACTGTGGCACCTCAAAAACCAGAAAGAGGAAGCATGTTTGTTTAAGTCCTTTGATGGCTATAAGGCTGTGGCTAATCTCCTTGCAAATGATAGTTCTAATTGTAGTTCATCCATTAGGCTGCAAAAGGCAAGCTTCCCAAGTGGCCCTGTGCCTTTTCCAATTCCCAGGAGAGCCACCCAGACTCCCTGTGCACTGCCTGCACACAGGGAGAGTTCTCTGCTAATCAGGTCAATGATTATCACCCAGCTCCCAGGACATGACAGGAGCCTATCAGAGCAGCAAGGGAGCCTCCAGACGGAGCACGCTCATGGAGTATCTCCCGTTCAGAAACATCGCTTAGTTCTCATTTACTCCCTGGGAACCTCTGAAGATTTCAGCTTATCTTTTTTCTCCCCTTAGACAGTGAGAAGCTCCACATAAACAGAGAAAAAAAAAAAAAAAAGAAGTCCAGTATGCAGCTACTTGGAGGGTGCTGATTGAAAACTTCGATCTCCCCACCCCATTCACGGTTGATTTGACTGATTTCTCATCTCGTTCACAGAGAATATTTCAATTAAGGTAAGTGCAGCTTTATCTGGGTGACTGCATCGCACTGGCTTTCTGCATTGAAAGTTCTAAATGACTAAACTGACATTCTGCACTGCAGCAAGTGACTGTTTATGTCAGGAAAAGGCTGAGTTTCTAAGCAAGTGTCCTATAATGAAAGCCGGCATTGGGGGATAATGACATTTCCAGGCAATTTCTTATGGAATTGAATCATTGCAACAGAAAAATAAATAAAAGAAACGATGAAAAGAGGGTTAATTTCTGATTTTACCTTTTAAATAATCCCTTTAGAAGACTGTGCTATATGAAGGTAACTTGATTTTGATTGAAGTGTTTTGTTGATGCCATATGGTAAAAGGTCTGAGTCTGAAAGCTGCAAAGTTAAATTAAATGGAAAGCAAATTTGCAAAGGAGAGTTGAATTGTTGTGCAGTTTCTACTTGAGCAATGTTCCTGAACTCCCTCTGGGGTTAAAGATTTAATACTAAATCCTAGAATACTTAAATAGAATCCTTTCAGGAATTCACACTTAAGTGATAGTTTTGGATTTAACTTTCAAGAACAATTGACCTAGGAGAATGAAGATATCCTACATCTGATTTATAGTCTGATTGTTTACAGAAGAAAGGGGTTCGTTTTGTGAGATAGATTTAAAAAAAAAAAAAAAGAAAATGTTTTAAAAATGCTTAATATTGATAATCAAATTGTTGAATTGTGTTTAAGGTTGTTATATGCTTCTTTAGTGAAATTTTGAGTTTTATGCTCGAAGTTAATCTTTGTTAATAAACTAGTGAATTGAGGTTGAGTTTGTATATTACATTCAAGTTTTAGGCAATTATGTAGTGAATTACTGCTATCTACGTTTTTATTATGAACTTGTTAAATACATCTAGAAAGGTAATATGGGTAGATTTTCTAAAAGTTTGATTTAATTTTCTAAACTTTTTTCTGTTCTACTTTACTTTGCATATTTAAATATAATCTGAAGGCTTTCGTGCCAGTTTATTGTAAATTACGATGTAGTCAAGAATAAACTGATTTGATCAATATATTTGACGTACTGATTAGCACTCTAAGCTCATGAAGTAACACAACCACCCATTTTGTTATAGAGTACTTAAACTTTGAAAGGATTTTCAAAGCGTGAAACAAACATTTAAGATAGCATTACTGGTTGCTATAGGCTAATACTTATAAAATGAATTTCAGTAGCTAATTTGTAATATGTAAGCGCAAGGTAAATGTCAAACTGCCTTTGTGGAAAGATTTATAATGATGTTTCAATGTGTCTTCTAGAGTGAGCACTCATACTTCATGAAATGTTGATTTTACCTTGTTCCTATGTGTATTCTGAAATGGGACATTTTATATAGATGTCAGAACACTGCTTATTTTAATTGGCTATCTGAAAATTCTCTGGCGAGCATTTCAGGCTGATGTTGATGTTATTGCTTAGCCCACAGGAATGAAACATTTTCAGGAGTCCCATAGGCGTTGACATGCACTGGCGGGTTATCTGTATATTTTCAGTTAAAGCCTGAAGACGTTTACCTAGCTCTGTTGTACGGAAACTCTGTTTCCCTTCTCTGGGGAAAAGATTTGCCAGGGGACTCAAAATATCTGAGAGATGAGTGTTTTGACTGCAGTCACAGACACTGGGTCTTTAACTTTTTTTTTTTTTTTTTTTTTTTTTTAAGCAACCATGAGAAATGAAAGAAGAGGCAACATTAACCAACCAGTGTAACCTTCACTAGTGACAAACATGTAACTTGCAGAAAGCATCATTTATTGTAGACTATATCTTATCCTAAATTCAAAATTAATGTAGCAGCACATGCAATGAACAGTGTCCTGGTGTGGCGCTGTGGATTAATGCTGTGGACTGCAAAGTTGGTTTGATCTGCAAGGTCTGTGGTTTAAGCTCACCAGCCACTCCTCAAAAATCTTATACAGGGTCACTATGGGTTGGAACCGACTTGATGACACTTAACAAGAACACGAAAATGTAACTAATACCTTTAACTATTTAATTAAGGATTTATTTTGTGTATAATGAAATGTTTACATTAAAAAAATGAAGGCAGTTATAGTACTTATCCAGAAGTGTACATTTCAGGTTTTGCTGTTTTTGTTATCTTTGTCTTTGTCTAAATTTGCAACACACAAACTGATAAGCAAAAAGGAAAGCATTTTTGGTAGAATTGTTGTTATTGTTGTAGAATTTGTTGTTGTTGTTGTTAAGTGACTTCGAGTCAGTTTGACTCATAGTGACCCAGAATAGAATTTTCTAGGGCCAGCTGGTGAGTTTGAAATGCTGATCCTGCGGTTCAAATGACCTTTGGTCCAGTGCTTATGCTACAGGGCCACACCAGGATTAGGAGTTGTTTTATCTTTGGTAATAATAATCTCCTCAATCCGATTTCTTTTCCTTTCATTCTTTTTTTTTTTTCTTCAGCTATTATCTCTGTCTGTTGATCTTGCTGTTAAGTTCCATTGAGTCAGTTCCTACTCCCGGCAACACTGTGAGTTTGAACCGCTGACCTTGCGGTACAAACCCACCTTGCAGTCCAGTGCTTATCCTACAGTGATACACCAAGACTCCATATTATCTCTCACTGTCACCATAACTCATGGTTTCATAATAAAAAACAAATACTCTTTCCTTTGACTGTAATTTATTCTTTAAAGTTCTGAAGATATGGAATAAGTGTATTTAGAGCAATCAATTTCAAAATTTAAACAAATAAAAATCTGTTAATACCTTTCCAGAACTTGCTTGAAGATTTATAACCTACTCATCAAGTTGTGCTATTATTTTCAATAAAATCCATGAGTAAAAACGAAAAAACAAAAACCATTGAGTTGATTCTAGGTCCTAGAAGCAATTTATATGGTTTCTGAGCATGGGAGCAGAAAGCTTCATCTTTCTCACTGCTGAGATGTTGGTTGGCTTGAACAGACAACCTTTTGATTCACAGTCCAACCTTGTATAGGGTTTCCAAGGAGTGGCTGATGAGCTTGAATTGCCGACCCTGAGGTTCATACAGTTCTTGCAGCCTGCATCTGAGGAATGCCTGCATACATCCTTCTAAAGAAGGTTAACTCACTGCAGTGAAATGAAGAAATATAAATTCAGTGCCATTGATCAAAGGCAGTTATGGGGGATTCATATTAGAGTCAAAAGACATCCATGATAGAAAATATTGAGACACTAGCAGTTGGAATTGAGTGTTGGAAGGCAGATTTAAAAACAAAATAATGTAATTGACTAGGAATCTATCTATTGTACCCTTACATAAATCCTTTCATATGTACACCATGATGCGCTATAGCTAATTCTGTTAAGAAAGAGCTCTGGTAGCATAGTGGTTAGGAGTCGGGCTGATAAAGCCCATTGCTTTAACCCACAACACCACACTAAGATAAAGATTGTTGTTGTTGTTGTTAAGTGCCTTCAAGTCAGTTCTGACCCATAGCAACCCTGTTTAGGGTTTCTGATGAGCAGCTGGTGGACTTGAACCACTGACCTTGTGTTTCAAACGACTTTGCAGTCCAGAGCATTAACCCACATAATGCTAACATATTTGAATTCTTCTTAAATGCCAATACCTGGTATATATGAATATATAATCAGTATATTATCTAAAACAGGGTAAGTGATGACTCTGCAGAATAAGCACTGGACTGAGAACCATAAGGTCGGTGGTTTGAAACCAGCAACTACTCTATAAGTTAAAGGTGAGGCATTCTGCTTCCAGAAAGATTTAACGTTTCAGAAACCTTATACAGCTTGCTGTGAGTTGGGACCAACTCAATGGCATTTAGTAAAAACAACAGCATATCCAAATGAAAAGGTGGAAGTAATTTATTTCCATTTTCCAAATGAAGAAATGGGGGCTAGAAGTGTTTATGGAGCTGGGTCAAGTCCACATCGTAATTAGTAGACCTATGGTTCAAACTCAGTTCAAACTGTGCTTGAGCACCATGTTTTATGCTATGCGTGATTCACATGTACATTTTTATACTATGGTTAAGACTGTGCAACTTAATTATATAACCTTCAGTCTGACTTATATTGTTGTTGCTGCTGTTAAGTGTCGTCAAGTCAGTTCCGACCCATAGCAACCCTGTATAGGAGTTTCCGAGGAGCGGTTGGTGAGCTTGAACCACTGACCTTGTGGTTCAAACTGACTTTTCAGCCCAGCGCATTAACCCACAGCACAACACCAGTCTAACTTATAATTTATTCAAAATAAATAAGCTCCATCGTCACTGTGGAGCCCTGGTGTGGTGCTGTGGACTAATGCACTGGACTGCAAAGTTGGTTTGTGCCTGAAGGTCTGTGGTTAAACTCACCAACTGCTCCTTGGAAACCCTATACTGGGGATCTGTGGGTTGGAACCATTTCAATAGCACTTAACAACAGCAACATAATCACTGTATTTGAAATAAAAATATACTTTGCTGCTTCTAGTTCTGAAAGAGATTGTTATTATTGTTGTTAAGAGCCACTAAGGCCATTGCAACCCTGTATAGGATTTCCAAGGAGCGGCTGGTAGGCTTGAACTGCCAATCTTGTGGCTAGCAATACCATACCAGGACTCCTGAAAGAGATTAGTATTCAGCTCATAGCTGCAAATTGATTCTGACATCCACTTACAAAAACAGACTCTACTATCTTGGTAATCACTACTCAACTTTAGCATCCTTGATGGACCCGCAGTCACTGGGTTACAAAAAAGATCCTTCTTAACTGTGTCTTTAAGAATCGCAGGTCAATCCAACGAGGTGCATATGATTCTTATTTAGTCTTATTTTAGTGCAAGAAAATGCTGTAGTCTTTTCAATTGCTTGCAATTTGCATGTGCAGCAAGTGAGAGTGAATGTGATGACAAATTTCTTGTGAGTAGCTGTTGGTTCACTTGTTTTAAAGTGAAGGCAAATTTACATAACTGGTGTGGCAATGTAGGATAATGTGCTGGACCACAGGTCAGTTTGAATTGCAAGGTTGTA